ATGTATGTGCTGATTCAGATAGTTGCACTGAATATTGATTGTTGTCGATTATTTATTGCACTGAAATGTACTTGACACTGTGGAAACCTGCCTGTGAGGCATCAGTGATGTGTGGGCACTACGCTGCCAGTCTACCAAAATACCGCCTGAAAGCTGACCAGGTTTGATTCGTGAGCTTTCAGCACGCTCTCCAGGCCGCCAGTGGGCACAAAAATGTCACTGCGCCAGCTGAGTCTGTCGACACCTCCCCCTACCGTGCCACCACGCCTGGCATGGGGACCTCAGTGTGCCTCAGTCTACGAAAATACCAAATTAGCTGTGTGCTGGGCTCCGCCAGACGAAAATACCACTGTCAATCAATCAATCAATCAAATTTTATTTACATAGCGCCAATTCACAACAGTCGTCATCTCAAGACGCTTTTCAAGGAACAAGAGCAGGTCTAGACCACGCTCATTGTTTGATGATCAAGAACCAACCGAAGATGGGTTTTGGCCCATCTCAACTAACATGAGTAGCAGTGGCAAGGAAAAACTTCCTTTTAACAGGCAGAAACCTTGGGCAGGACCAGCCTCATGTTACGCCTGGTTCACACTGGAAGCGCCGCGCACAGAGTTTCGGATCAGCGCCCGTGTTAATCTATGAGACTGTTCACACAGCTCGCGCGCGGAAGCGCCGCGCACGGCTGCTCCGCTTCTCTCTATTTTCGGCGCGAGCCGCACGCACCGATGTAAAGCTGGACAGAGCAGATCGGACCAGACAGGAAGTCGGAACAGGAGATGCGAGAGAATCCGGTCAATTTTCAAAATAAAATAAATTTCAATAAATTAGAAAAAAAGGATTTACGGTGTTGCTTGTTGGTCTATTTTTTACCAATGAACACACACACACACACACACACACACACACACACACACGGAGGGAGAGCTGCAGAGATTCAGTGACGTTATTGAGACAAAGGAGGGGGGCTTTATTACGATACAGTCAATAGCCTCGAGCTAACAAGGCTATACATACAACGGAGTCAACAGACTCCCCAATTTATTCGTTGTTAACCCCTATATAATAATTTAAAACAATACTTGAAGATGCTGCCAATATTTAATTTATGGATGACAAAATAAAAACGTAAATAAATATTGATTTACCCATTTTTAAAGCACTCGTAAGTGTGGAAAACTGAGGGCAGACGGAAACGGCCGAGCACTGCCGGGCTCAGTCAATGTCTGACCAGCGTGTCAGAGCGCAGCAGAAAGCGCTTTATGTGTGAACAGCCAAGCGCGAGCCGGCGCTGCGCGCGCGGCGCTTCCTGTGTGAACCAGGCGTTAGACAGCCACCATGCCGCTGCTGGGTTGGGGAGGAAGGTAGAGAGAAGAGGGGAGAGAGGACAGTGGGAGAGAGCGAGAGAACAAGATAAGGGAAGGCGAGAGAGAATGAGTAAGGAGAGGGAGGGGGAGGGAGAGAGAGTAGAGAACGAGGGTGAGAGAGAGACAGGGGGCAGCAGAAACAACAGCAACAACAACAACAGCTCATGTAATAGTGAAACAAAAAAGAGTTCAGTTTATAGGGTAAGGATATGAGTGATTATGGACAATGTTAAATTAATTGAGTGTGATTACAGTTAGCAGGCCTAATCGTAGTCAGCTCTAGTTTATGTTGTTAATGTCAATAATGTCAGTGAGGCTGATGTTCATGTCTGCAGTAACAGTCCAGAGGAATCCAAGAGAAGAAGGAGCTCAGGGCCTGAGGTGGACAATCATAGACAGTAGTCAACTCTAGTTTTATGTTATTAATGTCAGTGAGGCTGATGTTCATGTCTACTTTAACAGTAACAGTACAGAGGAATCCAAGAGAAGAAGCTCAGGGTTTGAGGTGGACAATCATAGATGATGTGGCTAACAGTCCAGAGGAATCAAAGAGAAGAAGGAGCTCAGGGCCTGAGGCGGACAATCGTAGACGATGCGGCTAGAGTCAGGCAGGTCTGCAGCAGCCATCAGTCCGGAGCAACCAAAGGGCAGGGGGTGTCGGCAGCAAATGTCCAGAGGAGCCAAAGAGATGGTGGAGCTCAGGGCCCAGGGTGGACAATCAGGGATGATGCAGCTGGGGTCAGGCAGTTCCGCAGCAGACCGTCTGCAGCATTAGTCCAGTGGCAGCTAAGAGACTCAGAGACACTCAAAGAGACAGAAAACTGGTTAGTGACTGACTTATATGGGACATAAAGATCTAAAGAAGAGATAGAGACAGACTCTGGCTCAATGTGCCAGATAACCCCGGCAGTCTAGACCTATAGCAGCATAACTAAGAGCTGGTTCAAATCAGCTATAGGCTTTATCAAAGAGGAACGTTTTAAGTCTACTCTTGAAAGTTGAGAGGGTGTCTGCCCCCCGAACCTCGAGCGGTAAATGATTCCAGAGGAGAGGTGCCTGGTAGCTGAAAGCTCTTCCTCCAATACTACTTTTAGAGACATTTGGTACAACGAGCAGGCCTGCAGACTGTGAGCGTAACGGTCTAGATGGAAGGTATGGTATAACAAGCTCGTCGCAAGGAGGATTTTAAACTCAATTCTAGATTTAATAGGGAGCCAGTGAAGAGAGGCTAAGGCAGGAGAGATGTGCTCCCTTCTTCTGGTTCTAGTCAGTGCCCGAGCTGCTGCATTTTGGACCACCTGAAGAGTCCTTAAAGACTTACTGGAGCAGCCTGATAAGAGAGAATTACAGTAGTCCAGTCGAGAGGTAACAAAGGCATGGACCAGTTTTTCTGCATCGCTCTGAGACAGTATGCATCTAATTTTTGAGACATTGCACAGGTGGAAAAAAGCTGTCCTAGAGATTTGTTGAATGTGGGAGCTAAAAGACAAATCCTGATCAAATAAAACTCCCAGATTTCGCACAGTGGGGCTGGATGCCAGGCTGATGCAATCAAATGTAACTAAATTACTAGAGAATGCCTCTCTAAGATGTTTAGGACCGATGACAAGAACTTCAGTTTTGTCTGAGTGGAGCATCAGAAAGTTGTTGGTCATCCAGGATTTTATATCCTTGAGACACTGTGCGGGATGCGCTACCCTCTGCCACACTGCCAGCGGGCATGAAATTAGAGCCCAGTGACTCAAAATTGATCACACTTGTGGCTAATGATGTGAGGACAAGAAGCATAAGCCAATTCAGCGGAGGTTGTGCTAGTAGCCTGGACAGGGAAAATGTGGCCTGTGATGTGGATGAAGTCCTGTGGCCTTGCCCAGCATGAAAGACATGTTACTGTGGCTGAATGATTGTAGATACTGTAAGAACTTAAGTTTGATGTTGTAGTTTACACTGTAATGTGCTTCTAGGTCAGAAAATTTTACTTATTATCCAAACCAAAACTTGACAGGTACGCACTGAGCATAAATTTTGATTGATGTGGAGTATGATCCAACAACATTGTTTAGTTTGGCAGGAAGAGTCAGAAGTTTGAGAATTGGGTTTTGTGCTTAGAATGTAGGGAAAAGCATGGTGGATGTCAAGAAATGTGTTTTAGGAATTCAGAAAAAAAATTAAAATAAGATTATAATACACACACACACACAATGGCCCTCATTTATCAAGCTTGCGTACAGCAGAAAACTTGCGTACACCTTGCGTACGACAATTTTGATGTGAGGATCGTCATTTATCAATCTGCACATGAGCGTACGCGACGAAAAAATCTCACGACAGGTCTGACATTGTGTATGCAAGTTTGAGTCAGTGTGGATCTGCAGTGCAGCAAATGTCTGTCTCAAAAAAATTGACAAACCTCAAACCTGTCATTATAGTATAGTCATTATACCAGTTTTGATGCTTCCAAAGAGAAAATCCTTGTTAGTTTCCACCACAGATGTGAGGATATCCACTTTCAGCTCAGAAAAGTTTCGCATCTATGTAATATTTCTCCTCTTTCATGTTTGACCTCAGTGGGCGAGGCTTCTGAACCACGAATATTTAAGGGCATAACATGTTAATGACGATATGTTTCAGCCGCCGCATTCATCAAGACCCGATCATACGTACGCTGGGATTGGTCAGATACGAACCCTTTCATAAATCTCACGCGTTTCCTATCGTACGATGAATCCTGCGCTCAGATCTGCACAAGCTTGATAAATGAGGGCCAGTATGTGGGTGTATATATAAATATATATTTATATATATGTATATGTATAGGGAAAAAAAATAAACAAATGATTTCCAAGAGATACCTGAAGCCAGTGGGAGCAGATTTAGTCTAAAATTTATCTGAGTTCTTTTATTCACATCAGGGTGAGAGAACTTTTTTTCATTCATCAAACGTTACAGCAGTGATCATTTCATTTGTTACAAGCTGCTGAAAACCCTTTGGTCCATCGACTCACTCCCTCTGTTCACTGAGCCTGCCAGCAGCAGTCCGTGTTCAATATGTAACAATGCATTAGTGGGCAATCATGTGCCATGGAGGGCCGAGAGGCTGCAGGTTTTCTTTCCAACCCAAAACTCCACCAGGTGATTTCACTGATTACCTTACCTCCAAGCAGAGAGCAGGGACTAATCAGTGAAATCACCTGGTGGAGTTTTGGGTTGGAAAGAAAACCTGCAGCCTCTCGGCCCTTCATGGCACATGATTGCCCACCCCTGCATTACATGCTCAACAATGACATCCACATCCAAATCTGACTGGGGTCTTGCAATCTAAATCAAAACAAACTAAAGCCCAGAACTGGTCTGAGACCTGGCTCTTGGGGTCCCCTTCTCCATGCTGATACTTTTCTACACTTCTATGCTACTTTTCTACAGACAGATTATGTTGTGATCACACACTCAGCACATTTTATTTTGGTGTATTCCATTTCCTGCGTGGGCTGTTTGCTGTTCCCTTCACCTTTTTCAGAGGCTGCTCCCTTCCTTCCATAGTGCTGAGGCTGGCTACTCTCACCTGCAGCTGATCTGCAATCAAGCTGGCTTTAAGACTGCTGCTTCAGACACAAGCCTCAGCACCAAAGTATTGTCTCTCCAAGCAATGGTACTATGTCTCTCTTCAGTTTCAGTGGTCTGGTTTGCATTCCGGGGTCCAATTTATCAAACCCTCACAGATTACACAGTATTGTCACTTGCTGGTCTGGTATGTAAATGTGGATGTTTCTCTGTCCATTTTCACGTGGACAGAGAAACATTCAAAGATTTTTGTGAAGACGGATAGAACATGACTATTGAATGACCAACAATTTGAAAAACCTCACCCAGCACATACATGAGGACTTGGCCCGTGGATGCAACAGTGGTTCATGAAATTTATGGTGATAAGTGTTCTCCAGCGACCCTTTTTCCAAGACCAAGACGAGACGATGACGAGCTAAAACATATTAATGATACAGATGCCTAACCAAAAGGCATTGGAGTCCAAAAACTCAGACCCAATCTCAAAAGCTGCCAGCATGAACCCTGACAAAAAAGGTAAAAAAAAAAAAAAGTGAATCAGCGACTTTTTTTTTTCTTTTTTGGAGCGTTGAGGAGTTTTAATCTTTTGCTCATGTCATTATTTGTTTCACCCTGGGAAAGGGACCCCACTGACGCTTGGGTGGGACTTCCTACCGTCCTTCTCCCAGATCAGGTCGTCACCTCTACACGTCTGGCATAAGAGGGAAACCCTGCCTTTCCTCCCCTGGCTCCTCACAGACAAATATCATGACTGGTTACGGGGGTGAGTGTTTATTTCAGTGTTTGTACTCTGCTCTACTCTGTGTGACCTCATCGCTGCAGTGTCATATTGAGTGTGATGGAGCACTGGGTCTGATCTCTGAGGTTTTCTGAGCCACACTTTACAACAAAGAGCACTTAACCCAGATTAGCCTGATGTATGGCGGTCTGACGCCTGTTATTTCCTGCTGAGGTTGAAGCTAATTTGCGGCTCACCTTTTGCTCAGGGTTCAGCTGTTCTGTTGTCTCATGGCCTGTGTTTTCTGCTGCAGATGATAGTAGCTGTAATATCAAACATTATTACAGGGATAAGTCAGATAATAAGAATAAGAACTTTATTAATCCCAAAGGGAAATTCAATTGTCTGTTTTCTCACATGTCTCTAAAGTTATCTACTATTTACACAAGAGTTATAAAGTCTGATTACTGTTGGTACAAAAGATTTTCTAAATCTTTCTGTCCTGCAGTGAATAGAGAGGAGCTGTCCACCACCATTGGCCCTTTGGTCCATCAAGGTGTTGTGAAGTGGGTGATCCATGTTCTTGAGAATAGTCTCCACCTTCCTCAGTGTAGATCTCTCCACCACATCCTCCACTGAGTCCAGCTTGAGTCCTACCACAGAGCCAGCCTTTCTCACCAGTTTGTTAAGACGTCTTGCATCTTTGTGTTTGATGCTTCCTCCCCAGCAGACTGCAGTGTAGAACAGAACATCATAGACACCACAGACTGATAAAATATCTGCTACATCTTAGGCCCGAACTACACGTATATGGATATTTATTTATCAGGATATTTTTGTACTCCCGTCTAAATAAATGTATCTGTCCACACGTGTTAGTTCTCAAAAATATCTGCGTCCACACGTAGCCTTCAAACTCAATCCTATCTGGTGCCGCTTAAAAAAAATTCAGGAACAAAGCTACCTGATTGGCCGATGAATCTTAACAGCGTGATGTGTCATGCATTGTTTGCGGAAGCTACGCTAGTGCGTCGGGTCCATGTGACGGTGTGGCGGCTATAACAAAGCAGACGCCTCTGTGAGCTGGCTGACTGGTGGATGTAATTGTATAAAACAAGGTTCTCTTGCAAGGCTGAAATTAGCCCCAAAAGGGCAAAACAAACGTAAAGAATACCCTGTATGTCCGCCATCATTGTTGTTGAGCTGCGGTTTGACGTCATCGATCCGTAAAAGTTCAACCACACGAATCCACTTATACGGATATTTTTTTATTTCTCCACTTGTTTTTCCGGATTCAGATTTATCCGGTTTGAGTGTTCCAAACTCCCGTTTTGGTGTGGTAGGGAGGCCTAATCGGACATAAATATGTGCGGTTTGAAATATATCCACATTCGTGTAGTTGGGGCCTTACTACAGATGTCTATTGATCAGAGTCTTCTCAGGGAAAAGAGGTGGCTCTGCCCCTTTCTGCAGATGAAGTCTATATTCTTAGACCAGTCCAACTTATTATCCAGATGTACACCTAGGTATTTATATGAAGTCACCACTTCGATGTCCACTCCACAGGTGTTAACTGTCTGAAGAGGGGGTTTGGATCTACGGAAGTCTATGACCATCTCCTTTGTCTTTGAGGTGTTGAGGAGGAGGCAGTTTTTGTCCATTTCTGATACGCGCCACGATAGTGGTGTCATCTGAGTATTTCTGGATATGGCAGGACTCAAACTGTGGCCTTCTTTTCCGGTAATCTACAATCCAGGAAACACAGGAAGGATCCACTCCCATCTCTGAGCTTGTCTTTGAGTATGGTGGGTTGGATGGTGTTGAATGCACTTGAAAAGTCGAAGAACATGATCCTCACACAAACCCCAGGTTCCTCCAGATGAGACAGGGCACGGTGAAGCATGTAGAGGACAGCATCATCCACTCCAATGTGTTCTTTGTATGCAAACTGCAGGGAGTCCAGTTTATCTCTGACCTCAGACCTCAGAAGGTGTAGAGACAGCCGCTCCAGGGTTTTCATGATGTGTGAAGTGAGGGCCACTGGTCTGTAGTCATTGAGTTCAGCAGGACATTTTGTTTCTGGTACTGGCACAATGCAGGATTTTTTCCACAGAGTGGGTACCTGCCCCAGCTGTAGACTCAGGTTGAAGATCCTGTGGAGAGGTTGACACAGTTCTGCAACACAGTCTCTAAGCAGCCTTGGACACACACCATCTGGACCAGCTGCCCTTCCAGGACAAAGTCTTCCAAGCTCCATCCTCACCCCTGTTTCGGTGACAGACAAGGACTGGTGGTCCAGAAGGGTGGCAGTTGAAGTGGTTGAAAAATTTCAATGAGATGGAGGAGGAACGGGAGAAGTTGTAGTGGAGATTTGTTGAGGAGAAGAGGGTGGAGTAGCAGTGGAAGTGGGAGTGACAGCAGTGTCAACTCTGTTGAAGAACAGGTTGAGTTCATCAGCTCTTTCCAGATCACCCACCACTGGCTGTCTTTACTTTTTTTTTACTGATTCCTCTCCACACTTCACGGATGTTGCTGTGTTGTAGATTCTTCTCTATCTCCTTTTTGTACTCCAGCTTTGCCATCTTCAGTCTCCTCATCAACTCTTGTTGCACTTGTTTGAGTTGTTCTTTGTCACCATCTTTAAAAGCTTTCTTTTTCTGCGTAAAACAGTCCCTTAGAGCTTCACTGGCTTGAGGTGTCCATCTTCTGATTTTGACTTTGGTCACAGGCTGCCTCAGTACACAAGGTCTGTAACAGGTTTGCAGATAGACCAAGTAATGATCTGACTTGCCCAGTGGTGGTAAGGCAGTAGCTCTGTAGGCTTCTTTGACGTTGGCATACAGCAGATCCTGGGTTTTGTTATCTCTGGTAGGACAGTTCACAAGCTCTGTGAATCCAGTCCGGTGAGAGGAGAGGGTGACATGTTTGAAGTCTCCTGATATTATTATTTGTGCCTCCGGGTGTTGACTCAGTAGCCTGGCAACACTATTTTGCAAAACATTGCACAGAATTTCCTCAGTTGATTTGGGTGGAATGTGAACAACTATTGTTATGATATGACTAAATTCTCTGGGAACATGATATGGCCGAAGAGCAACTGCCAATAGTTCAATATCTGGACAACACAACTTCTCCTTGACAGTTATGTGTGAAGGGTTACACCATCTCTGGTTGACAAATAAAGCCAGACCTCCTCCTTTCTTCTTGCCACTAGCTTGAGCATCTCTGTCTTACCTTATGAGAGTGAAGCCAGGTAGATCCACACTGGAGTCTGAGTTGTTTTGATTCAACCAGGTTTCAGTAAAACACAGGAAACTACACTCACGGTATGCTTTCTCAGTCTTCACCAATATCTCCAGCTTATCGCTTTTGTTGGGCAGAGAGTTGACGTTTCCCATGATGATTGATGAAAGAAAGGGTTTATATCGCCACCTCCTAGCATTCAGCTTTGCCTTCACCCTTGCACCAGCACGGCAACCACGATAACACCTCCTGATGTCCTCTGGAATTATATGTTGTTGTCCAGATTTGCTTTTCCTCAATGTAAGGAGCTCTTCTCTTGAGTAAACTCTTCGCCCAGCAGAAGTATCCATCAGCAGCCAACAAAATGACAACAAAAATATGAAAAAATCTAGCAGAAATTACAAAAAATACAGATAATACAGAGAGACCAGACTTCAATCAATCAATCAATCAATCAAATTGTATTTATATAGCACAAATTCACAACAGTCGTCATCTCAAGATGCTTTTCAAAGAACAAGAGCAGGTCTAGACCACGCTCATTGTTTGATGATCAAGAACCAACCTAAGCTGGGTTTTGGCCCATCTCAACTAACATGAGTAACAGTGGCAAGAAAAAACTTCCTTTTAACAGGCAGAAACCTTGAGCAGGACCCGACTCATGTTAGACAGCCACCATGCCGCTGCTGGGTTGGGGAGGAATGTAGAGAGATGGAGGTAGAGAGAGGCGAGGGGAGATGGAAGAGGGCAGGGGGAGAGAGAGAGAACAAGATAAGGGGAAGGAGAGAGAAAATTAGTAAGAAGAGGGAGGGGGAGGGAGAGAGAGGGGGAGGGAATGAGGGTGAGAGAGAGACAGGGGACAGCAGAAACAACAGCAACAACAACAACAGCTCATGTAATGGTGAAACAAAATGAGTTCAGTTTACAGGGTTAGGATATGAGTGATTATGGACAATGTTAAATTAATGAAATGTGATTACAGTCAGCAGGCCTAATAGTAGTCAGCCCTAGTTTTATGTTATTAATTTCAGACAATTACCTCTGGGAAATTTTGCAAGGGCCATGGGGGGCTACTGCCAGGGTGTGTACATTATGATTAGTATTTTTTATTTTTATATTTATTTTTTTGCTTTGATTATTGTTATTTTAGTTTTGAATATTCCCATTGGTTTTGTTTGTTTGTTTTCAGTTTGCTTTCTTGTGTTGCATGCACATGTTCGAAAAAAGTTAATAAATGAAAAATAAATGAACGAATGAAATGATATGATGAGATTCTTCAGATCTCAAATAATTAATACTAGTCACATGGTGATATTATATCCAAGAAGCAACATTCCTGGTTCAAGTATTTATTTAAACAACAAATAACCAGAGTAAGAGCAGTGGGTGTTTGACAAACTTCAATAATTGCTCTTTTTTTTGGCATGTCTCATAGACATCTATACAAAATTTTTCTGCTGTTTTTGGCAATGTAAGTCATTTAATTTGTATTCAGTAGAGAAAAGTAAAAGCACAATGATCCTGATCAAACCGTATGTTTTGATATAGAACTTGACATACAACTCTTCAAGCTGTAGGACTAGTATTGAATTTTTAAATTTATCAGGAAGAGGAATAAGAAAAAATCCAGCCGGATTACTTGAGAATTTTGAAGCAATTATGTTCCAGACTTTTTAAAAGTGAAGTTGACTTGTTAGAGTTTGCAGTGCAGCGGGCTGAATTGGACTCCTTTACAGGCCAGTTCTGGCCCCCTGAGCCAGTTTGACAGTGTGACACCCTGTGGTAGATGTTAATTTAAATTTTTTGTTACACACAAAAAACGAATATCATGCCACAAAGCAAACACAAACAAAAGTGGAGATGAGACTGCTACCAAGAAACCAAAGAGGGTGACTTGGTTTAAGAATATGCATTTTTGAAGATGAAAATTAATGTGTCAATTACATGATTTATTGTGGCCAGTCTAAGGCAAAAGTGTGCAATAATCATGCTATCTAATCCGCATCTTGATATGCCACACATGTGAGGTGGATAGATTATCTCAGCAAAGGAGAAGTGTTCAGTAACACAGATTTAGACAAAATTTGTCAACTATATTTGAGAGAAATATGTCTTTTGTGTTTATAGAAAAAGTTTGAGTTTAGCTCATGAAAAATGGGAGCAAAAACAAAAGTGTTGTGTTTATATTTTTGTTTAGTGTATTTGATATTTCATTAATGGTATGGATGATTTTACAGCTCTTAAGTCATTGCTTTGATGAAAGCAGCCATACTTTCTTTTACTATTGATGTAAATCCATTTATCACTGTTAAACTCTGTATTTTATAGAAACCACATGAACAGACTCATCTGATGCATCCCCTAGTCATATCTGAAAAGTCAAGTCCCATCTGGAGCCTTAAAGATGTGGAAAATACTTTATCACTAGCCAGCTCTGCTGAAACGTTAGGATATAAATGTGCTGATGATTTATTGGTGTAAAATTCACCCACTTACATTCACTCTCTGACAAATCCAATTCCTCCCTTCTTCCTGTTACTTGACGTATCTGCTCATTTTAAGGGTGTCAGCAGAGCTGTAAGCCAATCCAGCGTGTTTGATCTTCCTAACATCCTGTGGTTTTGTGACGCTCGCCATAATTAAAGTCAGATGGAGCCCATTTAGAGATTCTGAATGGGTAAACTCTGGTCTGTGTGACAAACCCATCAGCAGCAGTATCAGCAGTAGTATGTGGGATGGGCTCGGAGCAGTTTCCCAGCTGAGGAGCCACTTGTAAAGTCATCTTCCCAACTGCACTCAGGTGGCACTGTTAAGAGGAAGCTGGAAAAGCCATCTAACTGTTTACTTTCTGTCTCTTTGGCCCACTTTTCCCATGCTTTCGTGACTCGTGTTAGGTAATGATCCAACCTTATTTCAGGTCACTTCTGACAGAGAGTTATCAAAGTGTTCTTTCAGCCCCAGGTCAAACAGTTTGGAGAGATTTTAATCTACTTTTATTCACCAGTACACAAAGTATTTATATTGCCAAACAATCCCTGTATTGATGAAAGGAACATAGTTCATTTGATATCTGCCACACACAAGCACCTATTTAAGCACTATCCCCATGGGATTGGTATCACCCTCTGATAATTTTGACTAATTGATGGCATCTGTGTTTACAGTTCTCTACCTTGGCTGTACCTAAAAAAGTAAAAACTCCAGAGCAAATCACCTGCCACATTTTTGGACACAAAAAGGTCCTCTGACAGTCTAAATCTAGTCCAGATTGACATCTTGGTAATTTGAGTTGTAAATTTTCCATAAGAAGTTCATTTTCTGATAAAAACCATAAATGTTGGACATCCTGAACAAAGGTTTTGACTGAATTTGGGTGAAAATTAAACTGGATGCTTCCCCTAAACAGTGTGAAGACCTGTTTACAGAAAGAGAAAATTAAAATTCCTCTTTAAATCTAGATTTCAGAGGTAGATTAGATGGATAATATACGTTCAAACCACTCCACCTTTGTAGTGCTAACACAGTGTGCATGTATGAAGGTGCACCACAGCTCTTTTAAAGGGCACAGCTCTTATTATTGCTGCTGAACAGCCAGCATTTCTTGCTAATTACCTCATGCTTGATGCTGAGGAGTCAACCCCCTCAAAATCTATTGTTATTAATGATACACATTAAAAGGGATATTCTGGCGTAAAATTAATTTAGGGTCAAACACACGGTAATACTGAGTTAGACACCCCCTCGAGAGATGAATGTTGCCGACTGCTTGCTTCTGTAGTTATACCAACTTTCGTAATGACCACACAATACACAGCCACACGCTCAACCAAAAAGCCACTCTATAGCCACAGATAATGCTCAGGGGCCTCATTTATAAAGCTTGCTTACGCACAAAACCTGGCTAGAAATTGCGTACGCCACTTCTTACGCAAGAGTTGGGATTTATAAAAGAAAAACTAGTGTAGGAATGTGCGCAACTTTAAGCAAACTCCACACCTTGCTTACGCACTTTTTGGAGACAATCGGAGCAAGGTGAGAATAGTCCGGGTGATGCGTTCAGCACAACGGATGACTCGATGCAGCCTTTCTGTCCTGAGAGCTGCAGCTGCCGTACCAGGCAGTGATGCTCGCAGAAAGCACAGACCCCACTGTGGCGGTGTAGATAGTTTGCCAATTTGAATTTACAAATGTGCAAAAAAACAAATTCCATTTACATGCATTTGTTTTAAGATTAATATGACTAAATCTTTTTGGTTTACGAACTTTCACCACATAAGCAGCGGTGGATAACGGAGCGTTTTTTTTTTTTTGAACACATGCACGAGTGTCACACGTGCTTGTTTTTTCTGATCCTCACCTGTCGCCGCCACGCTCTGATGGTGCAAAGCCACTTTTTTCTTTGCCTCCACCTTTAGATCAGACCACTTCTTGATTTCGGCACAGTTTTGTTTTCGTCATTGTCGACGAAAACAAAACTCCACGTGTTTGCGCGCGCGTGCGTGTGTGTCTGTGTGTTGAAGGAGCACAGCAGGCTGATGACAGCTGTCAGAGCGGACAGAAGCTGCTCCTATATGTTTAGCGTTTAACTGACTGAGTTTTGCAACTCTGGTCGTCATTTTCGTCTCGTCCCATCAACGTAAACGCACTTTCGTCTCGTCACATTTTAGTCATCTCCGACTTATGTTTAGCTCGTCAACGTTACGTCTTCGTCGTGGAAGAAAAGGGAAATATTTCTGTCAACAAAAACAACCAGTGTTGTTCTCGTTGATGAAAATATTTCTTTTTGACGCTGGTGTTGACGAAAATATTTGACGAAATATGACCAAAACAACACTGTTTCGGCAACGCTGCGCTCAATGCCAGCCGCAATTGCCACCACGGCAACGGCGTTTTTATTGGTGATGCCACTCGAATGGCCGCCGAATAAGGTCTCCCGTCTCGCCGCCACCTCATTTACAAGAACCTCCACCTCGATCTCTGAAAAGTTTCTTTTTCTACGACTTGCCGATGCCATGGTTAAGCGTGAAATGCCGTGGATCCACCAGGCTTATTTACATGCAAATCACATTCATGAGGTAATTTGCATGACCATACATGGTGAATTTTGGGTGTGGAGAGGGCGGGGAAGAATCAAATCCCTGCTGCGCAACTTTCCAGCTGGTCTGTGATTTATAAAGGGAAAGTGCGTGCAGGTGTGCGTAGGCAGGGTTTTATAAATCAGATTTTTTTTTTGCCTACGCACTTTTCAGCTTTTCAACTTACGTACACTTTTAGTATGGATCCTACGCCAGGTTTTATAAATGAGGCCCCAGAACAGCACCTAACTTCATCAACAGTACATATAGGGTCCTAGCCATAGCACTAGCCACCAAACATCTTTTTAGCTTTGCCTAATTTCTTTAGCAAAGAGACTAAACACAACTCACCCACTCTCCTCCAGCAGCTGCTTGTTTGTAGCGAGACCTCGGGCCAGTCCATTGACCCTAAATTAATTTTGCGCCGGAATATGCCTTTACGAGCACTGCCAGAGACAAACAGATTAGACATGTTAACTTCTGTTTTACTTCTGCTTGTTGTAGCTGAGGCAAGACACTAGTTTATCTTAGCATACTAAACTGATCAACTGAACAACATGGTAATTTGATGTCAGATCCTCGCCTGTTATTCAGGCTACATCAGCACAGCTGGTGAGTGCATCTCTTAGTCATAGATCACTACAAGAAAAATAAATAAATACAAATAAAAAATACAAGCAGTAAAGATGATCAAAAGTGTTTTTAGTTTTGACTTTTGTAATCTCAGCTGTTTTCTCCTCACTAGTACTTTTGTTTTAGCTGATTTTCCCATCTCAAATGTGTGTTGTCTGTTGTTTGTCTGTGTGTGGTAATCACAGACATGCTGCCACTCCTGTTGCCTCTCCTGCTGCACACTTGAGACCCATCCATCAATCAAGCTCCGGGAGTGCATATATACCCGTCTCTCCACTCCAGTCTTCACTATGTGGTAACTGTGCTCCTGAACTTCTCTGAAACTTTGGAACCTGATATGAATCTCTGCACTCCTTGTCCTAGGATCACCACTCAGGATCCCTGTACAATAACAATAACTCTGTTGCATCAGTATTAAAAAACAATATTTTATCCAAACCTTTCAATCTTCCAAGAGGCACACGCCAAGGATGTCCCCTTTCACTTTTTCTGTTTGTGATTGCAATTGACCTATTGCCATCAAGAATAATCAGAATATTTTAGGCATTAAAATAAATGAGAGGCCTATTCGCGGATGATATTGTAATTATTTTTATCGACTTGGTAACGACTTTGGGGGGAACACCCTGAGATGGGTTTCTACGACCCATTCTTTCCAACTCCTCCCAGTCGTTGTCTGTCCCCTTCTCCAGTAAGATAAATATCTGCTCCTCACACTAGCAATTTTAGAACTGAAGAAGCTTGTTGGATGAAAGGGGAAACGTCTTCTCAACTCTACACAGTCCAGTTGCCTTTCTTTAAGTCTTCAAGAAAACCATGACCTGGATGAATGAGAATCTACATAGACATATTTTCATCCAATTTAGGGCAGCCACTTCATCATTTGCTCAACACCACTAACTCTATTAGTTACAAAATTAATTAGTCAAAATCTGCTATTCTCTTCCTTAAACATTCTGAAAGAATAAATCCCCCAGTTCAAACACCATTTAAAATAGTTAAAGATAGTTTCACTTATCTTGGTATTAAAATTACCCCTAAAATTGAAAATGAAAATTTAGTAGAGGCAAATTATAATCCAGTGATTGTTAGTTTCTGAATGTATTAATAGATGGTCTATGCTACCAATTTCCACAATAGAGCAGATCAAGTACTTAAAAATGAATGTCCTTCTGAAATTTCTTCAACTCTTGGTCCTCCCATTCATTTCTTTTCAATGATGAAAAGCATGTTCTGTAATTTTATTTGGAACAACAGACAGACTAGACTATGTTTATCTTTGCTTTATCTTCCCTATGACAGAGGTTGCTTAAAAGTGCCAAACCTCCAATGGTACTATAGGGGTGCTCAACTTACCACTGCCTCTTGTTGGTTCTCACAAGAAATGCCACGGGCCTGGATGACTGTGGAAAGAAATTTGACATCCCCTCTACCACTCAATTTGTATTTATATTCAGCCAAATTAAAAGAATTAAAGACATTAACACATAATCTCTTGGTAAAAAACACAATTCGAGTATGGTATGAGGTACATAAGCATAAAGGTGAGATACCAGCGTTAACTCAGTTTACACCAGTCTGGGGTAACAAGGATTTTATACCTGGAAAACGAGATCTGGGCTTCAAAATTTGCGCAAATGTCGTTGTAAAATTCCAGATTTATTTAACAATAACATTCTTATGTGGTATGTAGATTTGAGACAAAAGTATGGTATCCAATCAAAACATTTTCTTAAATATCTGCAGATAAGATGCTTAAGATACATAAATCTTTATCATGACCAAATCTTAGTTCTACTGAAGAAATAGCAACAAGTCAGCACTCTAAGAGGGGAATGACTTCAAGTTCCTATACAACAATCATGGATGGATCATATTGATACGATAAAAAATGTTGTTTTTTTTTTAAATTTTCCCCGTAATTCACAACCTTAGCAAAGCAAACAAATACATGATTACTCTTTGCATGTTACAAGCTAAATATACCATAGCCAAATCTCGGAACTACCACTACTAAACAAAGTATAAGAGTCTGACTTGCAGAACTGTCGGATTCTCTTGTACTGGAAAAACTCATTTTTACATTAAAGGGTAAATATTTCATTTTTGACAGTATATGGAATTCTTTCATGATGTTCTCAGAGGGAAGGAAAGCTTTTGAGGCATATTCTCCTTGTATGTAAACCATCAACACAAGAATATTGCTTTGTATATACGATACATCCGTCTGTTTGTTTGTTTTTCTGCTTTATTTTTAGTGAAGTATTTACCTTCCAAAATAACTTAAGTTGACTTCTGGACTACTGGAGATCTTTTAGGAGGATTTATGTTTTGAACGAGGTAAATACTGCATGTTACTGCCCTGTCATGTTTATATGTTTATCTGTTTACATTATTGAAGATGAGCTTTCCCGTCATGGTTTTGTTTTGCACCTGTATGATTTTTTGTAGTGTGTTTTTTCCCACTCTTTTTTATGAAAATTATTGAATACACTTTATTTTATTATCATTATTATTATTATTATTATTATTATTATTATTATTATTATTATTATTATTAATAATAATAATAATAATAATAATAATAATAATAATAATAATAATAATAATGTTTCCCCTGCCCTGCCAAGCCCTTCATTCCAGCTGACCAACTTCCAATAACCCCTCCATCATTTATTTGTTACGGTAAACATTCTTGACAGACACTCGCAGAAGAGCTGCTCATGCTGTCAAACATAACTATCAATGCAAATGTTTTGTCTACTGTGAATTATAACAAAAGAGTGGGCTACAAACAATCCTATTGACCGTAGCCTTTGGTGCTCAGCCTCAGCATTTTCAACCAGAAAGGTCGGTAAATTTGAGGAAATACAGACTTCACTTATACAGACTATACCCAGCGAAATCAGACTTTGCTGGGACTGGTGTAGTGGGGCTGTACTACTGTGTAAGTACTGTAATAATTGTATGGTATATCGCTTAACATCATAACTGCATTATGCACATGCACCATAGTCACAGGACATGCAATGTTAGTCTAATGACCTGTAATCTGTATGTTAGCTGTCATTGATCATAGGTTGACAGAACACAAGAGATAATTAATGTGACAAAGTAAGAACTTTGTTGATAAGAGGAACTTTATTTAGTGTGTTTACCTAAAGTGTTTACCTTCTTGTACTTGTTTATGAACTGGACTTAAAATCAGAACTCCAAACAGGTCTTAAACTGAATTACATGAGCACACATGTACACAGCTACTCTAATTACAGCAACTACAACAACAACACAAACAACACAGGCCTAACATCTCAATGCTTTAACTGTAATATAATACAATGATGTCATTTAAGGCGGCTGTGTCAGTGCAACAAACTCTGGAAGGATAAATATTTTGGGTTTTTTTATTTAATTTTTTTAGTTTTATTGAGTTTTTTTTTTCTTTTAACATTACAGTAAGTCACAGTAGAACATGAACATTTTCAACCATAACATTTGTAACTGTATATTTATTTATTTATATTTAATACAATCTTCATTGACAAGCTAAATGGTCTGAAAGAGGGGGGAAAAAGAGAAAAGAAAAACTGGACTAGCTCACAGAAAGCATGGGTCATCCTCAGGTTATTCAAGGCTCAGCAATTTAGGGAGCTGACTTACATGAGTAAGCAGCTGATGTGCAAAACTTCATCAGGAAGCTGGTGCTCATAGCAAGCCTCACCCGACAGCTTCAGCCCATATCAGATGTAGAGGATGGAGTTTAGGGTCTGCAAGGACATTTGATTTCCAAGGTTGCTTTTAACAACTCTCATCTGTCTGAATACTCTCTTGACTTAAACATTTGAGTGTGGCAAGACAACACAGACACAGCAGCAATGTTAAGTTCCTGAAACAGGTTATTGAAAGCTGCATCCCTAAATGTCCAAATGACGCTCAGTGTGTTTTTTGTTTCATTCCATTGACTAAGATGAGTAGAATGACATTGCTGGACAATCTTATCTACCACTGCAGGGGTGCATGTGTACTCCAAACAGCTGCTCAATAATAGCAGAATCTGTCCAGGTCTCACCGCATGAGGTAAAATTGAATCAAATCCTGTGAACGAGCCTTATTCATCAATATGTCTGCACCTTTTGTCCAAAATGACTTTAAATTTCACTGTAACGTAATAAATTTTAACCATATCTTAATATTTCTGAGTGGCAGCAGTACGTTCATTAGAGGTTTTGCCATTATGAACCTCACAGCATTGCTTTAACTTGATGCATGCAGTGTGCACACAGCTCTTTACATTTTAAATGGGTCACATGACTATTTTAACAGTGCCATTTTAACAGTGCCAGCTGACCTGAGTTAAATGGATTAAGTCTTTATTTATGCCTCAGCATTTGTTGTTTTGTAGAAAAAAAAGAATAGGTGATGCTCCATTATCAAGGCATGGGCAAGTATCGGATCAGTACCTGCAAATACTTAGTTTTTAAGAATCAGATCACGGTCAAAATTAGGACATGTAACAATGATCTAATACCTAACAATGACCCAAAATGTAATTTTAAAAAAGATAATAAAGCCTGAAATGTAATTACTGGTTGATAATGCAACAAAGGTGTTGAGCCCGAATTGTGATTTAAAAAAACAAACAAAAAAAAAAAAACATGTAATATAACCCTAAATGTAATAACTGACCCAAAAACTAATAAGTTATTACATTTTTTTGAGCAAGAAGTTCTTGGCTTTTTGGCTTAGCATCTTGTTACATTTTGGTTGGTCAGTTATAACATTTTGGGTTTTATTACATTTTCTTTTTCAAATTCCATTTCAGGTCATCGTTAAATTTCAGTTCATTTAGTAATGGCTAAAAACGTTGATCCCAATTTGGACTGCTAAATCAACAGGATCACAAAGTGGTTGCTTTCAGCAATAACACCTGCAGTGCACACAGACTGTAATCATGTAAACAACATGTTCAGAAGAGGACAGTAAATTTGTGATCTTTAAAAGAACCATAACCAGGCCATCATTTCTAAACAGAGATGACTGATTGCTGGTAATTCATTAGATTATTTGTAAAATTGAAGTCATAACCTGTTGCTCTACCTGTCCTTTTGTCTCTGTGCTTCTCCATGCTGGTGTCAGAGCTGCTGTCAGAGGGTTGATCACTGATTAGAAAGGAAAATAAACTAATATCCAATTTATGATTATTAAATAAAGTTGTATCTATCTAATTTAATCTTATCCAATTATAATTGTGGTATTGAGTTATTGTGGTTGCCGTTAATTATCACTTGAAATACACTGCATTACACCTTGTTTTCATGGAGACGATAGATCTGTAAATAAATAGATGCCAGCTTTAGTGCCTGATAGTGTTGTGTCATTCATGAACGTTTCGTTCAAAAGAACGGACCTGCTGAGTGAAAGACGTGAACTGATTCACTCCGAGACCTGATTCGTTCCTTTTTCAGTTCAGTTGAGCTC